GTGGGGCAGAGTCTCAGGGCAGAGCAAACAGCAATGGCTTCCCATCAGCCCTGTCATAACAGGCCTCCAGATCTCAGTGTTCCTTTGGTAATCGCTGCAAGCACCTCTAAGAAAAAGCTGCCCTCGAGTTCTGTCTACTGCCAGACAGTCCAGTTTCTCCCCGTATGAGTCTGGGTTCCCAGAGTCTCACCCGGAACTGGAGTTCAGAGCAGTCAGGAGCTTGTCTCCCTCCTGATTGAGAAAGCCAGCCGCGTCCTCATTGCCAGCCCTCTCAGTGCACACACCTCTGTACCTCTGCACTTTACTTCCGCAGCTCCTCTGAGTCTGTGTGCTTTTCTCTTCCCTTCCAGTTGTAGAATTTCCACTCAGCCAACCTTTCTATGGTTCTGGGTGATGTCCGTTTTATCTTTTAGTTGTAGTTTTGAAGTGGTTGTGCACGGAAGCAAGTTCAGGTGTTTACTTATGCTGCCATCTTGGTTTCTCTTTTGAAAATTTTAAATCATTTCCAGAAGCCTCACCCTAGGGGGTGACATTCATTTCAGGAAATAGGTGATGTGCAGCCAAAGGAGGTGCAGGGAGTGGGTAGTTTGACTCCTGTGATGTCCGGATGAACTGTAACCAAACCCACGAGTCTGAGTCCTGACGTGCGTGTGTGTGTGTGTGTGGGGGGGGGTAGGGTGCGGGGGGGTGGTCCTGCAGGCTCATGTGCTGACAGCGTGGGGGGTGGCGGCTCCCGAGCTGACGTGGGTGTGGAAAATAGTCTGCATTTCAGTCAGGAATGGCGTGCACTTTGAGGTGCTGTTGGAGTGCACCGATTGCTCACATGTCTGAAGCATGTCTGACACTTTCCTGTGGGGAAGGGGATGGGATCTCATCTCTAAACCCTTTGGGGAGCTTTTCCCTGGTCTGTGTTCTGTTCGTGTCCACTTTGGGGGGACAGTCTGGGACATGGAGTGCTCACACAGCTCCTCTTGTCAGACTGACATGAGGGCTGCCCCTTCCCGGACCCAGACGGTGGGAAGTGACTTCCCAGATCACACAGCCCCCAGGAGCCGGTTTGCTCACTGCCAACAGCAGAGGGCTGCCCAGTCCCAGCATCCCGGGCTGCATTCTGCCGGGTGCCAATCACACATGAACAAGAACCTCCCCAAGCAGGTGCCCCAAGAGCTGGAAGCGGGTCGCCTGTGCCCCGTCACCTTCCCAAAGCAGCCGGGGGTGCAGGCTGCCATCTGGGGGGCTCAGCTGCATCTCCTCTGCAGGGACCAGGCAGGGAGCCAGCCCCTTGGCTTGTGGAACCGGCTTCTCAGAGATGAGGGTCCATGGGGCCGCGCTCTGAGCGGCTGTGCGCGCCCGGGAGGCCGAGTGAGGGCAGGGACTTCGTGGACCAGGTAGAATACGCTTACAAAGGAAGCCAACCACAGGGCTTGTCCCCAAGGGCACACGGTCCCTTCAAGTCAACCATGCCACATCTGAGCCGAGGACAGGAGCGCAGGGAGAGCAGGAGCCACAGACGGCTTGTCCTGTGGGTGCCTTGCGGGTGCCTCCGAGGCCTGCGTGCTCTAGCCGTGCCCGGGTCCTGGGATGTAAGGGGGGTAACATGCAAACCGTGTTCCTGGTGTGACGACACGGAGCCACACACGTGCGTGTGGCAGTGCCTCCTGGGCGCCCGTGAGCCGGGACACGGAGAGGTGGGGCGTCAGGTAGGGAGCCAGTGGATCCCGGTCAGTGGAGCCCTTTGGGTGGGTGACTTCCAGCTTAAAGGCACACACCCTCTGCAAGATGGTGAGGCCTGTGGCCCGAGCAGCGATGTCAGCCCTGCGTGCAGCACCCATCGAGCTGACCACACGCCTGGCAGGAAGCTGTCCTGCCAGCAGCACACAGGCACCCATAGGGCCCAGACCACAGGACTCATTATAACCACTGGGTACACTGGCTTTTGGATCTCTAAAGAGATGCAAAGTCAGACACTGTCTGGGGCCACCCAGCAGGAGCTACAGAGAGATCTGCGGATTCCTCCTCGTTGTATCGGGTTGGGGTTTGGAAGTGCCCAGATGAGGCTGCTGGATTGATTGCTTTGGGTCTCCCGACCCTGCTGCTGCCTGTTTGACAGGTTTTAGGCTGAGAAAGGACAGGCCATTCATATACAAAAGCCACCATGCAGAGTTGAAGTGGGGTTGTAAATTGGGTGGGGCAGGGTCTCAGGAAGCACCAGGGCAGAGCAAACAGCAATGGCTGCCAGTCAGTCCTGCACTGTAGGGGTCCCAGCGCAGAAACAATGACTGCTGTGAGTACCTCTGTCTGAAAGAAAGTCACCCTTTCGTTCCTGCCCCGATGCCAGACACTCTAGTTTCTCCCCGTATGTGTCTGGGTCCCCCTGAGTCTCGCCCGGAACTGGAGCTCAGAGCAGGCGAGAGCTTGTATCTCCCTCCCGGTTAAAAGAGCAGCACACCCAGGTGCCAGCACTTTCTGCGCCTCCACACCTCCTACCAGCCTCACTGTGCCTTCTTCACCTCTCCGGCTGTGGAACTTCCACTCAGCCAGCTTTCCCGTGGTCCTGGGTGGTAGTTGTTCTGACTTTTTGTTGTAAATTTGATGTGGTTGTGAGAGGCTGAATTGATTAAGATGATATTTTTATACTAGAAATCCACACACTTAATCCTTCTGTGGCATATGTTAATTTACATGACAAAAGGGACCTATGACTGTTGTTTCTTACTGAAGTTATTCATCCAAATTATCATTAATAAGTTTATTAATAATAATGTATCTAAATTAGTGCAGCTGCAGGTATGATCTACGTACCTATCAGACAAGTCAGTTGTGCACTTTTTAAAAAAATATATTTTATTGATTTTGTACAGAGAGGAAGGGAGAGAGAGAGTTAGAAACATCGATGAGAGAGAGTCATCTATCAGCTGCCTCTTGCACACCCCTGCTGGGAATATGCCCGCAACCAAGGTATCGATACAGGCCCCTTGATCGGAATCGAACCCGGGACCCTTCAGTCCCCAAGCCGACGCTCTATCCATTGAGCCAAACCAGTCTCGGCAGGGCTTGTCTTTTGATAGCATCACAGTTACCATGAGCGCGTCCATGTGGCAGCAGAGAGAGTGGTGACCAGAAGCCCCGCCCACACCACGGGCCTGAGGGTGTCCCCTCCTGTGCACAAGCTTCTCTCCCCCCACACTCCGTCTGCTGTGGCAACGTACACACAACATGAAACTCACCGTCAGTGCACAGCTCGGTGTCCAGTCCAGCCACACCGCGGTGCAGCCTGCCGCTGCCCGTCGCAGACTGGTTATCTCGCAGACAGAAACGCTGCTCCGTCAACCCTGACCTCCCGCCACCCCTCCCCTCCGCCCTGGCAGCCCTCTCTTCCGTTTCCCATCAACGACCTTGACTCCTCCCAGCACCTCCTGTACGTGGAACCCACAGTCGGTCTTCCTGTGACTGGCTTATTTACCTCCTTGCCCACAGCCCCGAGGCTCATCCCGTGTGGCAGCGTGTGACAGGACGTCCTTCCCTTTAAGGCTGAATGCTATTCCGTGGACGGACCTTCCACATCCGCTTATCCACCCATCCACCTGTGGACACCGGGCGCCTGCGGGCTGTGGCTGTTGTGAATAGTGTGCGGAGAACCGGAGTGTGCAGATGCTCTGAGACCGTTTTAGGTTCCTTGGATTAGAATTAAAACTTAAATTAAAATTAGTTTTAATTTTCCGAGGACCCGCCCTCCTGTTTCCAGGGCAGCCACCCCGCTTCCCTGGTTTTCAGCGTTCGGAGGCAGCGTGCTGGCCGAGGAGAGGCAGGCACTACACCAGGAGGTCTGGGCCTGAACTGGGCTGTGCCATGTGGGCAAGGCATTCCGCCCTCCGGGCTTGTCCCCATGTGTAGGACGGGGTGTCAGTGACCGCCTCCGGGGGTGGGATTGGCCCCCATGTGTAGAACGGGGTGTCAGTAACCGCTTCCAGGGGTGGGATTGGCCTCCATGTGTAGAACGGGATGTCAGTAACCGCTTCCAGGGGTGGGATTGGCCCCCATGTGTAAATGGGGTGTCAGTAACCGCTTCCAGGGGTGGGATTGGCCCCCATGTGTAGAATGGGGTGTCAGTAACCGCCTCCGGGGGTGGGATTGGCCCCCATGTGTAGAATGGGGTGCTGATGGCCGCCTCCAGGGGCGAAGAGTCCAAGGGGCACTGGCTGAGGGCTCTGTAGCTGAGCGGGTAGCAGCTCCCCTTCTGCTTAGGTAGTGTTCTCTTTAAAAGCTTTTTACAAGGTGGCTCCGTAGCGCAATGGACAGTGCATTGGACTTCTAAAAACTTTTTACAGTAGATCTTCAGAGAGAGGGGCAGTGGGAGGTAGAGGGAAACATCTTCTGTCAGCTGCCTCCTGCCCACCCCCTGCGGGATCAGCCCGCACCCAGGCCTGTGCGGGAATGGAACCAGGGCCTCCGGTTCCGGGTCAGTGCTCAGCCGGAGCCGGCCAGAGGCAGTTTAATGATGTCCAGCTCAATCCCACCTGCGGTGCTGGCCGAGGCTGAGGTGTGGCTCGCCCCTCCACCCCCAATGAGCCCACGGCCGTGTCTGTCCTCTGTGAGCCGCAGGGCCCGCCCGGCCTCTCCGGCTGCGCCCCCTGAGTCCATCCCTCCCAGACACGTCAGTCCCAGCACCGCCCCCAAGTCAGCTTTCTAGGCCCCTGCTCCCGGGTCACTCCTCCAAACGGCCAGGGTGCAGCTCCCGCAGACTGGGGCAAACCCCCTCCAGGCATTCAGCGCCCACAGGTGCCCATGCCCCCTCCGGCCCCGGCTCCCGCCCTGCTCCTAATGCAGGGCTTCGTGCCCTCTGTCCCCAAGGCCTTGCAGCCCCGTGCTGGCCCCCTGGGGCTCCATGGCCTCTCCGGGGCACGGGGAGCGCCTGTCCGAGCGGGAGGGGCTGCACACAGGCTGCTTCTGTCCAGGCACCGGTTTCTCCCACCCTAACCCGCTGTCCCCTGGCCTCACAGGGACCTTCGTCTCGGCCTTCGCCGTGCTGTGCGGGGCCCGCACCGACCTCCCCGACAGGCACGTGTGCTGCGTCTTCTGGCTCAACATCGCGGCCGCCCTCATCCAGATCCTCACGGCCATCGTCATGGTGGGCTGGATCATGAGCATCTTCTGGGGCATGGACATGGTCATCCTGGCCAGTGAGTAGCCGGGCCGCGCCTCCTGGTGGGCGGGGCGGGCAGGGTGAGGGGCGGGGCTGGAGAGGAGCAGCCTCGGCCACACCTCCTGGTGGGCGGGGCAAGGTGAGGGGCGGGGCTGGAGAGGAGCAGCCTTGGCCGCGCCTCCTGGTGGGCGGGGTGGGCAGGGTGAGGGGCGGGGCTGGAGAAGGGCAGCCTTGGCCACGCCTCCTTGTGGGCGGGGCAGGGTGAGGGGGCTGGAGAGGAGCAGCCTTGGCCACGCCTCCTGGTGGGCGGGGCAGGGTGAGGGGTGGAGCTGGAGAGGGGCAGCCTTTGCCACGCCTCCTGGTGGGTGGGGCGGGCAGGGTGAGGGGCGGGGCTGGAGAGGAGCAGCCTCGGCCACGCCTCCTGGTGGGCGGGGCAGGGTGAGGGGCGGGGCTGGAGAGGAGCAGCCTTGGTCACGCCTCCTGGTGGGCGGGGCAGGGTGAGGAGCGGGGCTGGAGAGGAGCAGCCTCGGCCACGCCTCCTGGTGGGCGGGGCGGGGCAGGGTGAGGGGCGGGGCTTGAGAGAAGCAGCCTCGGCCACTCCTCCTGGTGGGCGGGGCAGGGTGAGGGGTGGAGCTGGAGAGGGGCAGCCTTGGCCGCGCCTCCTGGTGGGCGGGGCGGGCAGGGTGAGGGGCGGGGCTGGAGAGGGGCAGCCTTGGCCATGCCTCCTTGTGGGTGGGGCAGGGTGAGGGGGGCTGGAGAGGAGCAGCCTTGGCCACGCCTCCTGGTGGGCGGGGCAGGGTGAGGGGTGGAGCTGGAGAGGGGCAGCCTTGGCCACGCCTCCTGGTGGGTGGGGCGGGCAGGGTGAGGGGCGGGTCTGGAGAGGAGCAGCCACTGGCCACGCCTCCTGATGGGCGGGGCTTAGCAGGATGGTGGGCGGGGCAGGAGGGGTGGTCACGCCTTCTTGTGGGCGGGGCTAGGTGAGGGGCGGGGCGGAGGAGGAGCAGGCTGACCATCAGTATCTGGGTGTCTGTGACCCTCAGGGTGTGGGGGGGGGCCCAGAGATGGGCTGGGCCTGCCCCTTCCCCGAGGGCTCACCTGCCCTCATCACGGTGTCCGGTGTCTGTGCGGCCTGGCAGAGGGGCCTCCCCGCATGTCCGGTCCCCGGCCCGCAGGGACTCCTGGGGGAGCAGGGGTGAGAGGGCGCTGCCCCCATCCAGCTCTGACAGCCCCGGAGGCAGGGGTGTGGCCAGGGAGCTCCAGTCCCTGCGCCCACCGTGCCCTGCGCCTCCTCATGCGCTTTCCAGAAGGAAGGGAAAGGCCAGTTGGTGCGTCTGCCCACAGACACCCTGTGACTGTGGCTTCACAGGCAGAGCAGCGAAATGTCTCCTTTACACTCAGCTCTCTGTCGCTTGATTCGAAAGCCTTACCTCCTCACTGGGACTGCCTGGCCCCTCACCAACCATTTCACACCAGCTCTATGCCCAGGACCACGGGGGCCTGGGTCTCAGCGACCGCCTAGAGCCCCCCCTCGCCTCACTTTTCATCTCCTCAGGTTGTGGACTCAGCCAGAGCCCCGTCCTGTGGCTGGTGTGGGGGTGTGGGAGCCATAGCTGGCTGCAGGGTCATCAAATGCCAGAACCCCACCCCATCCCACCCCTCCTACTGCCTTCCCCGGGGTCAGAGCCACTCCCTGGGTGTCTGTACACTGCTCCCCAGTGCCGTCTTCATGTCAGACGTCCAGAGCACTGTTTGGGGATGGACGTGGGGCCTGACAAGAAAACCCACTTCCCACCCCGGCCCCAGACGGCTCCCCCATCTCAGCACAACGTGTCTGCACTTCTTCCAAAAGACAGACCCACCACGAAGGATGGAGAATTGCCACTCTTGAGATGGCGCCACGGGCCTGGTGGCCCCAAGCAGCAATGCAGTGTGTGTCCCAGGATGGCGCGCCTGAAGGGAAAAACCACAACTGGCTTCACTCCTGGCCGACAGACCTTTCTGTCCCTCCAGCCCCTTCTGATAAGAATGGAGGAAACATTTCAGTTGTAACCACTCAGGAAGGTCTTTCGCAGCATGCACACCACACCATAAATCAACAACAAACTCCTCAGAGGGGAGCCAGAGAAACAGGTCAAAGTAGAACTTAAAATGGGGAACTTACAAGCACACTGCTCTATTATATAGATTACTGATTTCAGAGAGGAAGGGAGAAATAGAGAGAGGTAGAAACATCCATGATGAGAGAGAATCATGGGTCGGTTGCTTCCTGCACGCCCCACACTGGGGATCGAGCCTGCAACCCAGGCATGTGCCCTTGACCAGAATCTAATCGAACCTGGAACCTTTCAGTCCACAGACCAATCCCCTGTTCACTGAGCCACGCCAGCTAGGATTCTACTCTCTACTTATCTCAACAATAAGCAAATAAACAGGGAACAACAGCCCGTCTTGGTCACGGGTCAATAAATACTTGGTAATTTTACGTTTACTTCTTTCTACTGCCTTGCCCATGGCAGACATTACCAATTGATTGCTACACTTTCAGCTGACTGATCTCACGATGGGGGCGTCAGGCAGTCACTACCAATTGATCCAAGATGTTTGCAAGATAAAATTTGCTTGCCTCCCGGGCCCGGGTCTTCCCCAGCATTGGATTTTACGTGTGGCTCCTGTGTATACCAGGGTGACCCCCATGGCTCAGACTGAGCCGGGCCACACAGGCACTTCAGGACCTTTGGAGTCTGGTGGTCACACCTGTTCTGCAGCTGACCCTGCTCAGATCATCCAGGATGCACCTCCAGGTAGACAGGTGTTGGGGTAAAAAAGAGAGAGGGACAGGAGGTGAGCAGCAGAGGGGTGTGCTGAGCGGTGGAGGGAAGGAGCATGCTGGAGAGGGCTTGGCAGTCCCCATGGGGCAGGACTCCTGGGGAGGGGGAGCCTAACGGGGCCACCATGAGCCTGCCCGCTCCATCGCCAGCCCCAAGCATCCTCCCGTGTTATACTCCAGGCAGCCCGCTCTGCCCTGTTCTCAGTCTCCTCTCTCTTTTCCTTTTCTTTTCTCCCTCATGCTGCCTCACATCCTGCGTTCTCCAAGTTTCCCAAGGTGAGTCTGTTGGTGGGTGCCAGCCTCGGGCCTGAGCTGTCTGTGCCCCCCCCCCCGCCAAATGCCCCACTCGTCCCCTCTTCCGGTTGGCCAACTGGCTTCTATTTTTAGCCTTTTATTTTGGAAAATGTTGAAACATAAACAAACATAAAGGGCCTGGTCCAGTGAGTCGCTGAAGGCCTAACATCTGTCAGCTCATGGCTGCTCTTGTTCATCAGTTACTCCCATAGCTTCCCCAGCCCAGCCTGGGTTTCTCAGAACAGATGATTTCCCCCAAATAGATGAATAAATGGGTAAATAAAGAGGACAAAAAGCTAAGCTGAGGGCCTGGAGAGGGTCGAGTCACCAGCTAATAGGAGGAACCACCAAAATTCAAGACTCAAATCAGTAGGTATCCTTTTTTTCTTTTTTTAATATATGTTTTATTGTTTTTTTTACAGAGAGGAAAGAGAGGGATAGATAGTTAGAAACATTGATGAGAGAGAATCATCCATCAGCTGCCTCTTGCACACCCCCCACTGGGGATGTGCCCGCAACCAAGGTACATGCCCCTGACCGGAATCCAACCTGGGACCTTTCAGTCCGCAGGCCGACGCTGTATCCACTGAGCCAAACCGGTTTTGGTAGGAGGTGTCCTTTTAAAAAACATAACCACAGGACCCTTTTATACCCACAGAAACAGGCAGCAGTGCTTTAAGAGCGATACGGTCACTATTTCCTGCGGCCTCATGATTACCCCCAAATGGCTGAGAGGCTCCAAACCCCCGGCACCTTCGCCTGTGTCCCGGCGTCCAGCTGGTTGAAGACACACATGCCCACCCCCCCACTGTGAGCTGCCCTCCTTCCTCCTCCCGTCCACACGCACCAGATGCCCGTCACCTGTGGAGCCCGTTGGGCACCTTCTCCCGGGCTCCGATTGGGAAGTCACGCAGGCCAGCCTGGTGGGACCGCTGGTGTGCAGGGGTGTGGACTCAGCGGGCGAGGATAACCTCCCAGCCCCCCGCCCCCCAGCTCCCTCCTCCCACATCCGCAGTGAACCCCTAGCTCCACCGTTTCCATTCACCCTTTGATTCCCGTGAAAAAGCCAACGCCCTTGGGGAGCGCTGGAGCCTGTGGTGCCCTGGGACTAAGAAAAGGTGACCACGTGTCCCTCTTTTGGCGGGACAGTCCCGATTTGTAACCATTTGTCCCTCGTCCCGCGGCAGGACTTTTTTAAAACACCGCGGGACACGGGAGAAATTGTTAGAAATCGGGACTGTCCCGCCAAAATCGGGACGATCGGGTCACTTTAGACTAAGGCCTCAGGAGCAGACCGCGGGCGGGCGCCTCCGGAGAAACCCTGAGGAAGCGGGTGTCTCACCGTCTCCTCTGCTTCCTCCTCGCAGGCTACAAGGAGCAGGGCATCCCTCAGCAGCTGTGAGCCCGGAGCCTGGGTGGCCCCGTGAGGCCGCCCGCCCGCAGCACCGGGACCTCCTGGGCCGTCTCTGCCGTCCCCTGGTTCGGAGGAGAGGGAGGATGTAAAGCTGTTATTTATTTTGGAAATGCACCTGCCCTGCTCCTCAGCTCTCCCTTCTCCGCAAGCCCTGCAGGCCCGGCACCCAGAGCCCCCGGGGTGGGGGTAGAGACAAGGACTGGGACAGAGGCTGGAACGTGCCCCCGCACCCACCCGCCTCGCCTCGGGGGCGCAGCGACGGGGGCGGACGGTGCCGGATGCTTCCTCTGGGCCCCCAGCGCCAGGCAGAGTGAGGAGGGACGGACTCCGGCCGGAGCGGAAGCTGCCATGCCCTCCGCCTGGGCGGCAGGGGACACACGGATCCCCCAACCTACCCTCCGATCGCACCCAGCTCTTCGCCACGGGAACCTCCGGCCGTGTTCCCTGGGAAGGAGGCAGTGGCCCCCGCCGGGGCGGACCCACAGAGTCACCCCCGGTCTGCGTGCACATCGCCCGCGCCTTCCCATTTCCCCGACACCGCGTCTGGCCACAGCCCTTCCCGCAGCCCCCGGAGGGCCGGGTGCTGGATTCCGGAATGCTGGGAGAACGGGACACGTGGAACCTACGTGTCCTCACAGCCCGTGGCCTGGAGCACACGCGTGACACGGGGCCTCTGAGGCCACCGGGCCGCCGGGCCTGGGAGCAGATCGCGGGGGAGGCCGAGGCCCGCAGCTCCTGGGGTCTCGGAGCCAATGAGCTGAGGAGGAAGACTCTCGGAGAGGCGAGTGAGGAGGCGGACACGCGCAGTCGGTGTCACTGTTTTTCCCACACGGGGATGGCCGAGGGGCGCTGGCCAGAGGGGCTCCTCCTGTCCTCGGGGGCCGCAGCCAGAGCCCCGCCGGCCCGGAGCTGTGACCTGTCTGCACGGGCGCCCGGCTCCTCCGAGGGCCCCTTCGGGCCGGTGTCTGCACAGTCTCCGCTCTTCACCCCCCGCCGGGGCTTTCCAATGACAGCCTGCTGGGACGCGGCCTCGGTCCCCTGGCCTGGCAGCTCCCTGGCACCCCCCCCCCCCGGCCACTCCCCGGGGCCCCCAGTTCTCTGCTCCTGGCTTGATCTCCGCCCGCCCCCCCTGTAGTCTTGAGGAGCCTCGCAGGGCTGCCTGAGATGGGGCTGCCTCCGAACCCCTGGCCGCGTCTCTCTCCTCCCTCCTCTCTCCCGACGCCAGCCCAGGCCTCTTGGGGTTCCTGTGTTTGCGGCCGGAGCCGGCCACAGGCTGGCTGGGGGCCGGAGCTCATGTGACACACCAGCCAGCGGACGGTCGGACGGATGGACAGACGGACGGGAGGGTTCTCGCGCCGAGTGCGGGATGGACACAGCCGGGCAGCTGAAAGGCAGGCTTGGCTGCTGGCCCGGCACTCACCGGCCTCCCTCGGGCTGGGCCTGCCATCAGCCAGAGCCCCGGCACCCGGCCTGGGTGCTCGGGATCACCGGTGGGTGCGGACGGGGATCTGCCGGACTTAACCTCGGGCCGAGGCAGGTCCCCTCGGGGAGCCGTCACTGCCAGGCGTGTATGGGGTTTAGCTGCGGCTCCTCGGGGCCTGGGGCTGAGCCCGGAGGGTCCACCGAGGAGGGCTGGGAGGAGCCGGGCCTGGGCTTCGGTGCCCGGCTGCCCCGGCCATGGCCACGGCGGTGTCGCCGGAAGGCGCCGGCCCCGGAGGCTGCGGGTTCGCCTCCGTGTGTGCCCAGCGTCTCAGGCCTCGTTCCTGCCGTCCCTGCCCCTCCTGCCCTCCTGTTTGGGGGGCTGCCCCAGAGGGGCTGGCGGAGGAGGGGAGCATGTGAGTCTGTGTGTATGACTGATGTGGGAGAGGGAGGGAGAGGGAGGGAGAAACATCAGCAGAGACAGAATCACAGATCGCTGCCTCCTGTCCCCCTTCTTCCCCCCGTGGGGATCAAGCCCACAGCCCAGACCTGTGCCCTGACAGGAAGTGAACTCTGACCTCCTGGCTCACAGGCTGTCGCTGGACCAGTGGAGGAGCGCTGCCGAAGCCGGTAGCTGCAGGGCCCTCCCCAGAGACCATGGCCTTGAAGGGGCGGGGCTTCAGGCGGGGACCGGCTGGGAGAGGAGGCTGGCCCTCTGCTGGCCACGCCCCCTCCAGGGCGGTGGGAGGGGGTGTCCCTGGTGCTGGCTCACCCCGGCCCGGTTAGCACTGGGCATCCGGCCTGCAGTGGGCACTGGGAGAAGCGGGTCAGAGCGCCACCGTCCTGGAGGCCCCTGTCCGCCCCGGGTGACCGCACTGAGCAGAGGGGAGGAGCCAGGGCGGGCTGGGCCCCTGCACACAGGGCCAGGGTCCGGAAGGGGCTGGGTCAGCTGAGAGGGGGCATCAGATGTTTTCCTGTTAGGGCCTTGGAGCTTCAGATGTTCACGGGGGCCCAGCAGCGGGGTCCCAAGGGGGGGTCTCAGGGGCGGGGTTCCAGAGGCGGGTCCCAGGGGTGGGGTCCCAGGGGCGGGGTCCCAGGGGCGGGGTTCCAGAGGCGGGTCCCAGGGGCGGGGTCCCAGGGGCGGGGTCCCAGGGGCGGGGTTCCAGAGGCGGGTCCCAGGGGCGGGGTCCCAGGGGCGGGGTCCCAGAGGCAGGTCCTAGGGGCGGGTCCCAGGGGCGGGGTCCCAGGGGCGGGGCTCAGGGGCTGGGTTCCAGGGGCGGGGCTCAGGGGTGTGGAAGCCCATGAATCTGCCACCACTGTGAGAGGAAGCACCTGAATGCCCTCCCCGGGGAGTGAGCTCCTGCCTCAGGGCCTTTGTCTCCCCCACTGCTCTGGCCTCAGTTTAGCCATCTGTAGATTGGGAACAAGGAGGTCCTGGGCAGCCATTATTTTCCCCATTTCTGTCAGGGCCAAGGGCTGGGAGGGGCCGAGAGGAGGGGAGGGACAGGGACAGGGAGAGGAGCAGGGACAGGGGGAGGAGCAGGGACAGGGGGAGGAGCAGGGACAGGGGGAGGAGCAGGGACATGGGAAGGGGAGGAGCAGGGACAGGGAGAGGAGCAGGGACAGGGAGAGGAGCAGGGACAGGGAGAGGAGCAGGGACAGGGGGAGGAGCAGGGACAGGGAGGAGGGCGAGGAGCAGGGTCCTCCCCTGCCCAGGCCTGGCCTCCTGCACGGAGGCTGGACCCTGACCGGGTCTCTTCCTAAAGCAGAAACACTGCCCGATTCCCTCTCCCTTCCTGGCCATCTCCCTGCCCCCCTGGGGTGTGCCCACGTTTCTGGTACAAGTTTCTGTAGGAGCTGTTTCTTGCTTTGATTAGCTGTGGAGTCTGTCCTCAGCGCCTCCCCCTCTCCTGCCTGGATTTGCCAAAACGCCAGCCACCCTGGCGGCCCGACTCCCCAGGATCCCCTCGACACGCCCACCCTTCCATGGGCCACAGCACAGACACACATGCACAAACATGCACTGCACACACACGCACACACACACGTGCACACTCAGCCCTCTGCGTGCGGGAAGCCGGCAGGATGGGGTGCTGGAGGCTCAGGTTGGGGGCTTCTGTCTTCAAGGGGCCTTGCCTGGTCCAGGAGCCCCTCCTTTCAGCCTCCCGCGGCCCCCCACCCCCCCCTCAGGCCCCGATGTGCAGTCTCCTCTCTCCCGGCACCTGGGTGCGCTCCCCCCCCCCCTCCCCCCGCCTGGCTCCCCCGCCCCCCGCTGGGCTCCCAGCAGGGGGAGGGGTGGAGGCTGTGAGGGCCGGGCGCCCTCTCCCAGGCCAAGTCCGTGCTGCTGTACACGGTGCCATTGTTTCCTTCTTCTAATTGTGAGCACACGCGTGACCACACGCCTGGCTCTGCACACGGGTGAGTGTGTTTGACACCGTGACCGGCGTGGGCCTTCCCTCTGTGACGTCCGTCCGTGCGGTTCTCTTGTTTTCTGACAACACGTGCTCGCTGACCTCCCAGCTTCCTCCATCCCTTCCCCCCAGACCGCGGGGGGCCCCACCAGCTTCCCGGGCAGCCAGCGGGGCTCCAGCACCCTGATGACCGGCGCCTTTTTGGTTCCTGATGTCAGGGATGGAGGGAAGCCTGCTACGCGCCCGGTCCCCACCCTGCAGCCCGCCCGGACTGCACCCAGCCTCGCCCCCCGGGCCTCGGCCAGCCCCCCCCCCCCCCCCCCCGGCTGCATCCCTGCGGCGCCCAGCGGCTCCCACTCCCTCAGCGCCCGGAATCCGTGACTTGAGCATCACCGCTGTACATGTAATGAAAACGCCATGTATGACAGCCACGCCTTGTACATATCTATACACACGCATCCGTTATCCGTACGTAAAGCGGGACACGGCTAGTAGCCCAGGTTCGTGGTTTCCTTAAATCCAGGAGACCTTTCTCCCTCCCCGCTTTTCTATCAATAAACACCCACGTGACCTTTGGTGGCTTCTCCCATCCTCGCTCTCATGGTCATAACCGAGCGGATCTCGGACCGGCTCCCGCGGCTCCTCCCTCTCCCGCTGCCTTGCATGGCCTTCCCATCCCGAAGGTCACCCTCCCCGTCCCCAAGGTAGCCCTCCCATCCCCAAGGTCGCCCTATCCGTCCCCAAGGTGGCCCTCCCCTGTCCCCAAGGTCGCCCTCCCCCAGGACATCCTCCTCTTACTCAGACCTTCTCGCCCCCGTTCCTCCTCTCCCGGAGGCTCCGGCCATTCCTCCTCCCAGCGCCGTGTCTCTGACAATCTGATCCCTTTGCAGCTGGAAGCTTACACATTAAACTGGTCTCTGGGACCCAGCCTGCACAGATAAAGCTCACGTCCCCGTCTCGGTTGTGCGGGGGGCTGGTGAGGCAAGCGTGTGTGACAGGAGCATGTCAGCTCCTACATCCGTGGTCGGCAAACTCATCAGTCCCCAGAGCCAAACGTCATCAGGACAACTCCTGAAATTTCTGTGGAGAGCCACATTTCTTGAACTTCTTCTAACGCCACTTCTTCAACATAGACTCACCCAGGCCGTGGCATTTTGT